ATCTCGAATTTCGTTAACTTCTCAGCGATGAGATCATCGTCATTAATTATTTATGCGTAGCAAATTTAAGCGCAAAAATTTCTTTTTTCCATTGTTCATTAGGTATCTATTAAGCTTTTACACGATTAAATAAAATTAATATACATAAATAAATAACTTTTTCGAGAAATCATCACCATTTTAAATACTTAATTCCTTTGTAAAACGCAAAATATATCTGTATAAAGCAATTGCAAACTAAGATATTAGAGAGAGAAGCTTATTCATAATGCTCTGCCATAACCAGAACGCGGCTAACTCCATTAAACGTACCAGACGGATTATGTGCACCCATTTGGAATCGAGTTAAATCTTAGCTATATACTTAGAACCTTTGCAGCGATTTACAAATTGCAGTCAAATGCATGTATCATAGCTAATTTGTAATGCGATTTAATAAGTACCAATGACGGATTTCGTTGTAATCCGATTTTAATCCTGCTCTATATTTAAACTAAATTGATATATAATATTTCTATACGTAGAAGTGAGCGAAGATAATATTTACAGGATATTAATATATTAATAGGATATTTTTGGAAGATTCTAAAGATTTCTAAAAGCAAGAATAAATATTAAAAATGATATATAAAATTGTCACTTAAAGCTTATTTATTAGGGTATGCAAGCAATTGAAGTTTATGTTACACCAAGGGAAATAATGTAAGATTGCTCTTTCTCTGTTACTGTTGTTATAATTTCATTTTATTTAAATTAAATTGCTTACAGCATAATAAATTCTTTTAAAGTATTGCATGAATTATGTAATTAATATTAATATTCTATATAATTGAGAGGTTCAATGGAAAAGTAGTAATTCCATAAATGAAATACAATAGATTATGAAAATATTAAAGTTTTTTATTTTTTAATGAAATATTAACAAACAATTTTTTATTGAAACTTTGTATATTTTTATAGAATTATATATTTCTATAATTATATTATATTTTTTGGAAATATCATTTTAAGGAAATGAAATCAATGCTTAAAATTTTAATGCAATTTTTGTCTTTTCTCTTTTTTTTTTATATAAAAAAATATTCAGAATTTAATCTATCTATTATTGAAAATATTATTTAAAGAAAAATTGTATTTAAAATTTGATAAAATTCTGAAATTTCGAAGGCTAATTTCATTCTTAAAGACATTTCTTGTTAAGAAAGAGATTTATATAGAGATTTATTATACATATATATAAAAAAAATATGTCTTAAACTTGTTTTTATCGTTGAAAGCTTATAGATTTTCCTATTAAAATTTTATTCACAATTCTTTCGAAATAAAAATTGTCAATTTATATTTAACAATAGATTTAATTCAAATCTAAAAAAATTAATTCTAATAATTCTATTAACAATAATATAGATTATTTTTCTACAAGAAAAATAAGTTTATAAAAAAAAAAGGTAAGATTGATTGTCAGAAATACTCAAAACCGACAGATTCAAGACTTCATTACGAATATTGCATCTTGCATTCATTCTTTGATACTGAAGCCAAGAACCACGAAGGAAATCGGAAAAGACTCAAAAGAACGATTAAAGAACTTTACTCAGCAAAATCTTCTTTCAGATCTATGTATCGCAGAAAATAAACTAAGTTACAATCACTGGAAAGATTTTTACTTGCAAAAATTAAACGATTGGTGAACATTCCATTTTACAATCTTATTATTTAAGTAGATATATTATTTATACAATTTTTTTATCCAAGTTTCATTTTAATTACTATTAAACAAAAATCTCGAATAAATAAAAAAATATGGATAAAAAAATATAAAATTATAGTAACTTAAAGTAATTTTTATTTGAATATAATCTTATTTATTATACATAAACAGGTATGTATAATTATTGTGTTAATCAAATGTTATTAAAAACAAACGATTCGAATTTAAAAACGTTTTATCTAAACTTAACTTTCATCCTTTTCGAAATAATTGCCTTTCGATTCTGTATTTATATCGAATGTCATTTCGAGAGAATAAAATCAATTCTCACAGTTTAAATATCTTTTTTATTTTAAAGTATAAATATAATTATAATATTGCAAGATGATGTAGAGCAAGATATTATAATATTCTATCATACTATTGTAAAAATATTTTCAGACATTATATTTATAAAATGTGAAATGTGAATGTTACCAATTTTGAAAGTTGATTTTGTCAGTTCAAAGTGATATTTTATTAAAAAATGAATTATCACATGTATATGGTATAAAAACATAAATTTTTATCAAAATCAGAATTTCTTTTTAAGATGGCATATAAATACTTTTATCTTTGATTGCATAATGGATATATCTCACAATATAGTACATAGAATTAATATTTATAAACTACTTATTCGTTTGCTTCTCTATTATCGTGTAATACGATAGAAGATTATAAATACGTCATTTTAATAAAAAAGCGAAATATAAATGACTCAGAAAATCATTGTTATCACTTTAAAAGCACCAGAATCCGCTCATTGTATTCCATGACACAATTGCAAAGTTGATTTCTTGCTGGTGCGACTAAGAGGGGTCATAAGAAGAAAGTCATTAAGCGTTTAAAAAAAGTATAAAGTACCAACAGTTTTATGCAGATTGCGAATATGACTTCCAAAATAGAAAATTTTAAAAAAATTCGTAAAAATAAAAAAGCCAAAGAGGAATAAAATGTGAGTTATTTATTATGAAGGAAGGGGTGGAAAAAAGATAATGTGTAATGGAAATTAATAATGAAAAATGATAAAAAGGAAATATGAAAAAGAGGAAAAAAAATTATAAAGAACAAAGTACAAAATAAAACGAAAGAAGGTTTATGAGAATGAAGGTTAGGAGCAAATTCTTAATACTGAACATTTATTGAAGTATGTCGATGCCAAGAACTGGGAAAAGAAGAAATAAATGGAACGAAGCGGAGAGCAAACAACAACTGAAGAAGAATATGGAAGGCTTTTCTATGAAGTGTAATTGGAATAAAACTTGGACCAGTAAATAAGAAAAAATTTTTAATTCTGAGATATGAAAGCGAAGAATGTTTTAATTAAAAATAATTAAAAATACTTATTACTTAAGTAATAAACAATAATGATCATTAATAATTAATGAATAAACTTATTTGTTATAATGAAATTAAAAAGAAATAATAAGACAAGATTAAATGAAGAATAAATAGCTAAAAAGTATTTAGATCCAGTGCATATATTTACAAGATGTTATTAATATTCATGAAACATCTTTGAAAAGTCGATTCTAGAGACTGAAACAAAAGTTGATTATTTATTAATTAATAAGCAATTTAAGTTTGTATAGAATGAGATACTTCTAACCTTATTATATCGCCGGCTCACTTCTGTCTTCATTTCGCTTTGTCTAATATAAATTTCACATTAAAAAAAGAGAGAAATTTTTGTTTGTATGAATTTCGATTATTTCTAACTTAATAAATGAGCTTTAATCGACCTTTTTACAATCCAATTTTTGATCTCCAAAATGTCTCACTTGAACCTATATACAACTCATCCATTGTACAAATATGAAATGTTATTGCAGTATATCATATCTCATTTTCTCTCAACGAAATATATACATCTATTACTGCATCAAATATATTATATAATTTATAAGTTATTTATTTATTTCATTATAATTCACATAATTTTATTATGTTAAATTTATATTCAATTATTTAACTATAATATTTTAAAATTTTTTTCTATGTATTTATTTTTTCTATCTTTCTAATTTTTCCGTTATATTGATAAATATCATTTTTATGTCAATAATAACAGCAACGACATAACAGGATACAATTTTATAAAAATATTTCAAGAAATTAAATTTTCATTAATTCATGCAATTAATTTATTAAAAAATTTTATTCGTATGAAAAAATTTCGTTTTTTCTCAAATCAAACAAAACACGAAAGCAAATATTTCCTTGAAAAAGTTTGGCATACAAATAAAGATATATACCTAATATCTTTGTTTTATGATAGAATATAATTTTAAATAACACAATATAAAGATAATTTTTTTTTACGATTTCATTGGATTATTGAATTCATGGTTAAATTGAGCGAATATGAAAGCAAACAAGAAACGTTGCGACAAATTAACGAAACTATTCATGTGAATTACCAAAAAGATTGAATGTAAACATAGCGAAGAATTGCTGCGGATATATGGTGTCACAAACTGTTTGTTTGTATTGGAAGAATAGAAACAGGATAGTTGAATGTTTAGATTCTCATTTAGAATTGGGTTAACCTAATCTATAGAATCTGTAAATTTTTTATTACTTAATAATTATTACACGCACATTATAAATTGCATAATATTAATATTTCGTAAAAGTTTTTATCAATTATCATAATTTATTATATATAATTAATATTTTATAAAAATATGTGTAAATAAATATAATATTGGTTGCTCTAAAAATTCTTTTGGTTATTTGATGATTAGAAATATTTGAAAAATATGATGATTAAAAATAAAAACATACGATTTGAATAAATATTAAAACAGTGTCGTTTACTTTATTGTAATGTTTAATTTTTCTCTAATTTTTCAAGAAACGTGTATGTATTTTCCCTGTTAAATATCCTGAATCTTTTTACAAAATTGATCAACTATTATGTGAACTCACTGAATAATAATGAATAAAGATAATCACCAATTACTTCGTCACTCGAGACACCATTGTTTGAAATGATTAAATTTAATTACTACTGAAATAAGTAGAGATGATTATGACGAGATAATTTGTATATATTTTAGCACATACAATGAATAACATATACACGTGAAATGTATTATGTTATTATTGTAAATATATATGCAATGAATCTTTTATTATGATTTATTCTTTAGTGGAAATGTGTTGTTGGTAAATAATGATTTGTTAGAAGAAAAAAGAAAATATTATTTAATGTTATTTATGGGGAGGGGTTATGTATCATCTCGAAGTCGAATTTTTCGATCAAAGTATATTCTTATCAATTTTTTTGTTCTTCCTTTTCTGCGCATAAACGGAAACTTCTTGGCGGTGATGAAAGTCGTGTCTGCGATTCCTCGGAATCTGTTTTGCACGGTGATAATCCGGTGTTTTTATATTGAAAATTGCCGTACATGTATCCGCACAGGGGGCAGAACATACGAACTTTCTTCGCACGTTTCATTATCAATGGTACAAAACAAAGCGGCCAACATCTGTTACGAATTACATATAAATTTAGAATTGAAATTATTTTATTAAAAACGAAATTTTTCTTTATAAAATTATTTTAATTATTTTCTAGATAAATGTCTATGTTTAACGATCTTTTGATAATAATATATTTTTATTCATATAAGGGATAAGGAAAAATTGTATTAATTTTTTAAACAATATAAATTTGTTGCTGTATATCTGTATATTACACAAAAATATTGATTTAATTAAAAAATTATCTTATATTCTATAGAATTATTTTAGATAATTTCGATGTTACTATGAATTCCATCAGGAATTATTTTATTGCAATATATTTAAAATTATATAGAAAAATGAAACAAACAAAATGTGCGTGGAAAAATGATAATTTTTTTGAGGAGCACAGTTGCATTATTCTCATTTTTATTTGTTTCTCATATATATTTTCAAATTTTTACCACCATAAAATTTCGAGAAAAGCAGAACAGTTACATCCGTGACGTTGATAAATACGTTTGTTCGCGGCAGCTTCTGTTGATATAATTTAATTTAACATGTTTTAGTTCGTTATACCGAAGCTGAAGTTTACTTCAGAAATTATTCTAGAAACTATTTTATAGCGTAATATTTAAAAATTAATTTTTTTTTTTCCCCGCTTCATATCCCACTATATATCCTCAAGTTTTATTTCGTTAAATATAATACGAAATCATCGATTAAAATTTTTATTTTCCAACTTTTGGTAATTCCTGATAATTGGACAATGAATTTTTTCAAATACGAACTTTAATGCGATATTTTTATCGAAATTTATTAAAATTCCTGAAATTATATCATTTCTGTAAAATTCACTTATTTATCAAATATTTACGATGAATTTGCAAATAAATTGAAGAAGCTTTCGCGGTTACTCATTAATCTTTTATCCTGACGCGGGAAGCTGAACGAGCAGACAGGAAGCGTGAAATTAATTGTTGGTTACCTGCACGCCAGCCAAAATCTGTCTGCCCTAAATTCCAAATCATCGCCATATGTGCATATCAAGTAAAAAAATTTAAACTCGTTAACTGGCATAACGAAGCTCGTCGAAATTATTTTTAATGTGTGATTTTATAAAAATAAAATAATTTGACTTTTACATTGACAAATTTTCTCGTTGACAATTATATTCTTCAAAAAAAAAAAAATAATTGAAATTTAATGCTTTCGATTAAAGATTGATCATTGAAATTTGTAAAGAACAATTAATAATAATTCTACCTACCCTAAAAGACACAGAGCTCCAATATGAGAAGTCGTCAACTTGTCTCCTCGAGTATGAAGAGTCGGTATTGCTTCCTTGTGACATCGAGGGCAAATTTTTTTTTCATTATGAGATTTCCATGTGTCCACTGTGCAAAAGAATTAAATAGTGAGTGATTCGATAACCTTCCAATTTATTCAAATGATCGATATTTAAGAAACATTACCACGAGTGGCATAAACTTTTTTTGTTTCGCTTTTCTTAGAATTGTTGTCTGTGTTACCGAACGATTGCAGTTCTGTAATCTTTGACGCTGTTTTCTTGGTTGATATTTTTGGCCCCTCTTCTTTCTGGTTTAAATATCAATACAATAACGAGTATATAAGTTTATAATAATTATATTTAATTTACTCTTCTCTCTGATTTAATCGAACGTTAATATAAACGTTAATAAGAATAAGTTTAATATTAATAACAATGTCTCTATCGATATTTTAAATTTATAAATTATGAAAAAATGATTAAATAATAATTCGAAGGATTGAAGTAGAGAAATATTAAAAATATTAAAAATCGTCGATAAACTTCGGTGGAACTTTAAATAAAATACACTCTTATTAAACCGCATTTATTATTTATACGGTATATTTAAAAAAATTTGAAAATAAGACAAAATTTTTTAAATAAAATATAAAAATACACTTGTGCGTGTTATTTCTTTTCGTTAATAAAAATCTGAAAATGATATTATCGACATAGCTCGAACGAAGAGTATTAAACGAAATTGATTATTTTTAAGAGAGGAAAAAAAAAAATTCGTTTACCTGAAGCAAATGTTGGTTAGAACGTTTCGGATGAAATTTACGAATATGTGCGAGAAGACCGTTCGTATCTTTTCCTTTGTTGCTTACTCGTTTGTCACACACAGGACACCACGTAGCCACGTACGACTATGATAAGGATAGAATATGATATAATATAGGATTCTAACCTGTACAAATTAACGAGCGTTTCCTAGTCATTACTTAACAATTAGGTAAGATTTTTTTTTTGCAAAAAGATAGAACAACCTGTGTTTGGCATATCATATCTTCAAGCACGTGATTCTTTGTTTCGTTGTGAATTTGTTGTACATTTTCATAAAAATAAATAAACTTTTTACGGTAGAATTACAGGTGACAGGATGGAAATTATGTGTGCCTTTGTATAGTATACTGAAATTAGATACTACAATACCAATTAATATATTCAAATAACTTCAATTATCATATAGATTATATCGATATATTCATTCAAATGAGAGATAATAAAGTATTATTTTATTCCCTATATGCTCAGTATATTCTAACATTAATTTTAATGCTCTTTACTCTATACTTGTCGCAAAGCTTCCTCTTTTCTTTTTTATTTTGTAAAAAAGCTTCGAATAATTTAATTAATAAACGTGTTTATTAATACGTTTATCGTTAATAAAGTTTTTTTGACTTTTCTTTAATACGTATCTTTTGATTGTCGTGTATTTTATTTCCATTAATTTTTTATTTTTCTCAATCAAAAATTCACAATAATATTTTCAATAAATATAGAATTTAGAAAATTAACATGTGCTGTCAAGATCAGCTTCTTGGATTTTCGAAAGATTTTTAAAGCTTTAGTTGCTTATTAAAAAATTATCGACAAAACATTTGTATGACATTTGTAGTATCCATACTAGATAAATTAGGTTAGATATATATCATCAAAATGATCTTCTAGGTGTCATTCCTTATTCGTATACGAAATTTTCTTAATATTCTTCAGAAAAATGATTTTGACAATAACATTTTTAGCTTTCATTCTCCTATGATACATTATTAAATGAATGTTATATATTTTTTTTCATAATGCATACATTATCGAATGACTGATAAAGATAGAGATAAATAAATAACTCGTAATTGATCCTCTGTTGATAATGTTTTCTTATTTTCCATAATTCAAATATTGTTTTCTCACAAGATGGAGGAAAAAGAGATTGAAAAAAAGAATTGAACGAGGTAAAAAATGCAGAAGCTTTGTCGCTTTGGTAAAAGTTAGTCGTTAAGTCGGGAAAGTGAGTTTCGAACGAAGCAATCTTAAAGAAAGAGGCAAAGGAAAGGAGCTTTTGCTGAATGTAGTACGAGAATTTTAAACTAAAGTCGAAAGTTTCGAAGACAAAAGATCGCACGAGAGCTCGATCACGGATGGCGAACACGCAATGATTCAATTCCAACGATCAGAATCCGCGATCTTGTATTGTAATTGCAGTGATTTTAGAGTTGGTATTTCGAATCTTATTATTGGACCATGTCTTCTATTAAATCATAAATTGTGTTGTTCTTCGATAGACACTTTAGACAGAGTATTGAAATTTAAAAAAGTTTAAGAGGAGATTCTTATAAAGATTAAAACAAACGCAAAAATTGATATCCAAAAATATTTATATTAATCCTTATTTTTCAAGTTATAAAGAATTTAATTTTGCATCTCGCGAAATAATTTTATTTCCGCTTCATCCAGTGTAAAATTAATCTCTTTAATGGCGCACATTCTTCTGAACTGTCTTACAAGTTAGAAAAAATTCCAATAAAATTTTACTCAGCTTATGTAATTCGATGTGAAACTAATTTAAATTTTACATTTGCGAGAATTAATTTTGTGATGCTGTAATAAATATAAGTATTCTATTTTTTTTTTATCTTACAAGTGATTTAGAATGTGTTTCGTATTATAGCAAAAATTTTTAAAAAAATTCATTGGCTCACTCCAAATATTTATCTTTGATTACACAGTTCTAATTCTCTTATGTGCAAGAAAATGATACAAGTTTCACATTTACAAATGTGTTTCGTAAAGTAAAACAGAATTGTGAAGAACATTCTATTTAACGAGCAATTCATTAAAAATAAATTTCTCGAAGTGATATCTGTCTGCTATGTTTATGAGAAAACAGATTTGTTTCATTTGTTGATTAGTATACTAAAGTTTGGCTGATCAGAGTTCGTTGAAAGGTAGCATGCCACTTGACTATCTCAGTTTTCTTCTTTTCAGTTTCGAGTTTAAGAGTGTTCTTCTTACTTCTTGAAAGTCAAGTCATCCTACACAGAAAGTATTGGATTTCAGCTTAATCGTTGTTCGAAAAACAGTCTTGACCGGTTAAAACTCGTAAACTTTCAGGAATTTTCCACGAACTCTGGGAAACTGCTGCCACGGAATAAATAAAAAAGCATTTGTTTAAAAAAAATAAAAACAACATTGTTACGGATCATAAACGATCATGTTACGGATATTTTTATCCAAAGATGACATTAAGCATATATGTACTTTTATTGTATTCATAAGCATGTTAATTAATAAAAAAGATTATAAAGAAATTTGCTCTTGAAAAAATTTAGAAAATATTATATTGTCCTTCAATGTTCAAATTAAGATTCAAGTTCAAATTAATATCATATATGATAAAATTTTGCTCATTTATATTGAAAATAAAATAAAATATCTGAATTTATATGAATAAAGAGTTTTTTGAATATTTCAGGAAAAACTAAATTTATCATCTTCATTCAAAATCATAAAGAAACTAAAATTTGAACAATTTTTAAATGTTTGCAAATATATTGCAAAAAAAATATGTGTGTGTAATAATGTAGCGAAAGAAATGTTTACTTTCTAAAAATTTACAAAATATCAAATATTATATTGCCTTTCAATGTTGAAATAAAAATTCAAGTTCAAATTAATATCATATATGATAATAAAATTTTGCTCATTTATATTGAAAATAAAATAAAATATCTGAATTATGTAATTAGGAAACAAATTTATATGAATAAGGAGTTTTTTGAATATTTCAGGATAAATTAAATTTATCATCTTCATTCAAAATCATAAAGAAACTAAAATTTGAACAATTTTTAAATATGGATATGTATTACAAAAAAAATATATATGTAATAATGTAGTGAGAAAAATGTTTATCTGAAAATATATATATATATATATTTTACATACATATATTCTATTATTGAATTATTATAAATATGTCTCTGAGATAAATTTGAATAATAAAATTTTAAATAATCGATATTTTACAATAATTAATATAATAATGTTTGACGATTCACTCTATTGTTAATTCTATAATGATTCATTGAAGTTATTTATGAGGTATATATAACGCAAAATGATTATAAATGTAAAATTTGTTTAACGTGCCATTTGATAATCTGAAAAAAAAAGATACATGTGATCTAACTACATGATTCAACCATAATATTGAACTATAATTTGAAATTATGATGAGAGAATAGAGAAAAAAAATAAAATCTAAAATTTTAGCTGCGGATATTTATTAATTTGAGAGATATTAATGAAAATCTTTCGATACTGTAAATTAAATTCAATTATATTTCTTCACTATTATCAGCAACAATCAAAATCTATAACGAGATTAATAAACAAATATAACCATTTTTAACATTCCTTTCACGGATCAATCCTTCCAATCTACGGAATACGAAAAAATAACCAAAATATAACATCTTATATTTGCTGTCTCATTTTAAACTTCTACTGGTTGTCTCGAGAACTAAAACCGCGTCGATAAGTGAGAAACAAGGAAGAAGAAAAGTCAACGAACAATTTGGTCAATCTCGTCACGAGTACCGTGCAGTATAAACAAAAAAGGGAGGAAATTAGCGAAGAAGCAAACCGGATTTAAAAGAAACGGCAGTTCATCGGTAAGAAGACATAATTCAATTAGAAGTGGGGAATGCACAATCTGTACTACATGTTTGCGAGTGGGAGCACGGATGGCGCCGTTGGCAGTGGGTCAGAAAATCAGGTCAGGTAGAGGTGGTGGCAAAAGGAAGGCGGATAGTAGGGGTCGGTTACCGTTATCTTCGTCTGGCGTCGTCCGTGCTCCACACCTGGAAGTTATTTTATACGGAAGAACCGTGGGCGAGTAAAAAGATAAACCGCTGGTGCTGTAGGCGAGATGCATCGGAATCCGTCGCCCCGGATTTTCTTCTTACGTTCTTTATACAAAATTCAACAAGGCGGAGAGTTTCTCATGAATTTCGATTCGATATGAAAAAAACGGGCGGGACAGTGTTGTTCATCGCTTCCTTTTCGGCGAGTATACGATAGCGAAATATTTCTTTGATCAATGGCAATCTTTGATTTCTGAATAAAATGTTAAATCTTGTTGAATATTTATTTATTAATAATCGAAATGATAATTATTCGAATATTTAGTTAGTTATTTAATTAAAATCTAAGTAAAACATATGTATAATATTTGTAATAATATTTTTATTTTAATTTATTTTGATTTGAGAATTGAAAACGTAAATTATTGTTATCGATTATGGTATAATGATAAGTAGCGTGAGAACATATGAACAATGTAACAGAAAAGAAGAACAATGTAAAGTAAAAATGGATCATTTGAGTATTTGAATATAGATCATTATTCAATAACTCGAAAAAGTTGCATATCATGATTTTATTAATACCTTTCTGTTCAGAAGAACCAACTAATGTATGAAAAATAATAAGATTATTGCGTATAATATATACGAGTTATTTACTGATAATAATCCATAATAATTTTCGATAAGTCCTTTCCGATAATAAAAAATATATTTATTACAAAATGTAAAAATGTGTACATAAAAAGTTACTTCAGGCTTGATGAACTTGCGTGTTAAATTTATGCTTGTTTTCTGATTAAATCTATGCTCCGAGTTGCAAAGACAGTCAATGGCATTTGATAGAAAGGATTGGTGCGTTGCAGAACTGGTGAGAGCAGATACCATGATTATATCTTTAATCGCAGGTTTAGTTTGCGCGTAAGTCCGCGCTCAGTGATAATCATTTATCTCTTCGGCTTACCAATAATGGATATTATTATCGTTTATCGTGGTAGCAAGGACGGATTAAGTCGAAGCAGCCATTAAAGTTCCCTTATGATACTTTCTTATCGCTGAACTGCCAGAAACCATGCTGCTGATTACGCGTGCCAACCGTCAACTCCATTGTATCATATCTGACAATACATCTTTTTCTTTGTATGATACAACTTGGAGTTATATTCGCGAAAATAAATTAAAAACACATTTTTGTAATAAAATATAGATCGTGTATGTTATAACATATTAAACAATTTTCCACTTTTGAACCCACGATTATTAAAATTGTTAATTTTAAAAATATTGTCATTTGTTATATATCTAAACATCCATGGTATTATTAATGAATTACAAGATCTGAAAAAGTTTATCATTTTTTACTTCTACTTTTTATTATTTTCTTTAGTACTTTTCCTTTTTCCCTATTTCGTAAAAATTAAAAACTTTTAAAATTATTTCGTGTCATTTATACTTATTCCTTTCTTGATTAGCTTGTATACATCAAACAATTTTTATTTCAAGTAAAGTATTTATAATATCATATGTATTAAATTATATTTTATTTTAAAATGATTAATACATTTTAAATTAGAAGTAAAAGTATCATTTATATTGTACATTCTATTTATTTTCGAAATGTTCATCCGAACGCCTCAAGTGAAACATTGGTATTTCGTGTATTGACCAACATATCGATAACATTTCGCCCGCAATATAGTGCTGATAATTTTAAAACGATATTATTGTGACCATGCAATTGCGCTTTTAATGTAACTCTGTTCCAATCGTAGAGTATGGCCAAGTTATTGTCAGATACATCGTGTGTTATACATATAAGGGAGTGGAAAGATATTGCAACGTGATCTTGGGTGTACGTATCCTCACTTGATCGTGTGTTGCAGCTTCACCCCGGTCAGACTCGGTTATTCTCTTACCTTCTATCGCGTAGAACGATCGAATCTTGAGAGAATAAGAATGTACATGCCCACGGATACACATCCATTTCGAGATGTCTGCGGGTATGAGCGATAAGAGCAGATCGTGAAATAATTAATTTCACGCCTCTGTAATCTCCGTGATCAGGCATCGTTCATAAACTTTCTCGATTTTTACTTCCATCGATAATTCGAGAACATGTTTCAAACTTATCTGGCTTATCATCAATCATAATTATTTTGCATCAAAGGGATTTTTTGCATCGATAATGCATAGATTTGAATGTATGAATTCATGAAGGCATTTGAATACTAAAATATACGTATGTATAATAATAACATATGCGTATAGGTATGTACTTCTTTTTATAATACGAAAATTAATATCGTGATATTTATGACTTTTATTAATTATCATATATCGTTAATTAATTAAAGTTATTAAAAAAATATTCTTGAAAATTAAATTTATATTCTTCCAATTCCTCTTTTCTCTTTTATTTTCAAATAGATGATTTTTGTTTGTTGGTTCATTATTAACATTATTAAAATATTTGGCGATGATAATTGGATTCAGAAAATAAAAAGACGAAATAAGTAATCTGGTTTCATAATAAAAGTAAAATAATAAAATACTATTAAATATTTAAAATTCAAAAATAGAAGATTTTTCAAATATGAAGTCTTAAATGTTAAATATTAAAAACTGTAATTTGTAGAAGATTTTTTTATAAGATTTTTTACAATATTACATAAGTATTGATTGAAATACTTGCATGCTTTATGTATTTAAATTGTTGAAGATTAAATCAAAATAATATAATTTAATTCAATTTGATTCAATTCATTCAGTATATCTTATTATCAGTTAAAAAACGAGATTAAAATTGTTATAATTAAAATTTATAATTATTATTAACAACTTGATTCATTTTGATATTTATATTTGCTAATTTAAATTCTTAACAGCAATGGGAAGTCGTTTATTTTTTTTTTTTTTAACGTAACTGTTTCGAAGATAACTGTTTCCAGTAATTTTTACGCACCAGTAATTGAATTCATAAAAGAAAAGCCGTATTCCATGCTAAAGCACAATTCATTATAATATTTATTTTTAATTTATTTTCTTACATAATAAAATGATAAAATACCATTCAAATTATATTCAACTATATTCGATTAGCAAGTTTTAAATTTATTAATTTAATGGGATATTTAATTGTTAGATTTACATATTCGTGGAATTGGCCATTTCATCGTATGCAAGAATCTGTATAATAATATAAATACAACTATACTCTTAGGTATAATTTTATTACACATTTCAATACTATATTAACAAAAAAAAAAAATCAATAAAAAAAAGAAAACTTAATTACCCATTCGCATAATTACGATTGTATATACTTAATTAAAACTCGTTCTTGTACGTATACAGAATACTTATCTTTACTTTTAAGAAGCAACAATTCCAAGGACCAACTTAAACCTGGTTCCCCGACCAAATATCTACATCAGCTGACCTGTTGGGGCAGCGATGCCTATCTTCCCGACAATTTGTACCGGATGACGCAGTCGAACAAACCAAGTGTTTGATGCTGGTCAGTGATTAGATTCTGATAGTTGTGGTGTGTCTAACGGTACTCCGTGAGTAAAGTAGATCCGTCGTGGCCTTTTCATCTCGACACGATGGACATCTAGGGTCAGTTTACCATTGGCACGTATACGTAGCCACCTCCCCAGAGACAAAGACAATTTCAAGTCGTGGCTTCCTCGTCCACGTTGATCTACCAATTCAATATGTCGAAGATGTTATTTCCTCTCGATCAATCGTAGAAGATAAGGAAGCATTTTCAGCGACAGTTCGTTGCAATTTGTTTTCATAGAAATCGTTCGAATTTTAACGCGGTATTATAAACGTAGAGAGAGAGAGAGAGAGAGAGAGAGAGCAAGTTCAAATTCTTCTGTATTTTTATTATCTTTATAACTTCGTAATTTTTTAGTTATATTTCCTTGCCAAGAAAAATTTATCGAATGGGTATATTAAAATAAAAATGTTGATATGACAAATATATTTATTAAATTAGTAAAATGGGGATAAAGTTAGATAGCTAACCAAAATTTCGATTGTCTATTTGGCAAATAGACCTCAGCTGATAATTGCATATCAATTTCAATATATATTTTGATTTCACGAATTAAAAATATTAATATATCTATGCAAAGAAATAAAATAATATACTGCACCCTTGAATATCGATTGAAGTTTATTATAAACAATTTAGATGAAAGAGAATGGAAGTAGAATGGCAGTAGAGACAAAGCAGTAACGCAATTTCAATTGCCTGTATATATAAAACTTGATAAACCTCGACCTACATTTTTATTCATTATTCTAACTTTTATTTTGGAATCGATCCTTCCATTTCGAAAGGTGTGCCATCGATATATTAACACTCTGTATAAATATATTATAATTTTAACTCTCTTTCACACAAAATTCGCACGTATAATTTATTTAAACGGGCAACACGTTTGATTATTATCTTTTCATGAAGCGAATCATTTTCGATATATCTGCATCCCAAGATACTCATCTGAGTATCTAATTTTGTAACACTGTCCTCGTTTGACCTATTACGAACGAACGATTTATTATAATGATTCGTGTAGCCACCATGCCGTCATTCGTTTCATCAGAATCGCCTCGATTCAAAATAATTGTCAAGGATACATGAAATTGGAATCGCAATTTCCTAAGAACCAATGATTTTTCATTATCCGCGAAAAGAAGTTAAAAATCGTTTAAAAATTTACATAAAAAATTACGAATCATAATTTTCTCGTATTCAAAATTTTGAAAATATTGTTACGAATCAAATCGATATTCTTCCAAGGTATAATACAAAGTTGATAATAATTTGTCAAATTTAAAATTTATTTGACATTTCAAATTTCCATCTAAAACTATATTAAGGAGATACGGATTTATCGGAAGGATTTATGACCAACCTCGAAAATGTCTTTTTAAAATCGAACTTTTAATTGACAAAGTTCTTTGGAACGCGAATGTTCCATTCGACGAATGTTCTCGAGCAAAACCAAATTCGATCTATGGATTCTGCGCAATAATTTCGAATCGAATTTCCGGTATATGACCGTGACTTCTTGAACAATCGCCTATTACTTTGACAGAAGGCTTTGATCGTTGTTCCGTGACATTGAATTAAACTCGAAGAGATTTCTCTTCGAAAGCAACGAAGGAAGTACTGTATAGTGAAATTATCTACGGACAAATAGATTTCGATAATGCTACGATAATTAAATTAATGAATAAATTACTGCAAGTATGATAATATCAATTACATTCGTTCAACACTTATGATTCTTAAATTTTTATAATATTTATTTATTTCGAGCAAGAGAAAGATTTGATGCGATTAAAAAAATGCATCATTATAATTGAAATAAGAAACTACTCTACTCGAATTTTATAAATATACTCGACAAGAATATTCATATATCTGTGATATTATACGAGTTATATTGTACGTGTGTATAAATAGGATAGAAACGAAGACTTAATTGGTGATTTCTAAAGATTTCGAATTATTAACGAATTATTAACAAAAAAAATTAGTCGATCACAAAGCGTGTACACTTGCCATGGTAGTAGCATGTTTCGCCAACGAATTATCGAGTTCGAACAAATAGATGAAAGCAGAATTGAGTACTAACCTGTTGAAAAAGTAACTAATTAAAATTTCGTTATTTCAAGTAATTTTAACTTTATTTATTAAATAAGATACATTTATAATTGATACGCTCTTTATATATTTTCAGCTACAATTATCTACATTTATTCGATGGTTTGAATAATAAATTATTGAAATAATTTAAATTCTTAAGTTCAATCGTTAAAATTTTCTTCATTTTCGGATCGAAGCAAATGTAACATTTATTGAACAAAAA